ATATTATATTATATTATATTATTATATTATGTATGTATGTTCCAGTATAACTCTGGAGCGCCTCCAGCAATTTCAACCAAACTTGATACACAGATGACTAACCCTCTGGAAACAAATACTGGGGGGATAAGACACCCCTGGTGTGTGTATGTGTGTGTGTATTCCAGCATAACTCTGGAACGCCTGGTCCATTAAGGAGAGTGAGTGCGGTGTCCTAGAGCGGCAATTGTTTTTGATGTCAGTTCCTTCGCAGCTTCCTCTGGAAAGCCAGCCGTGACGTTCCCCCTCCAGTGGACCAACGGGGAAACGTGTGATGGATTTGGGGCAAAGTGCCAGGATCGTAGACAGGCAGGAAAGAGGAGCACACGGGAGGGGGAAGGGAGAGGGCAGAGATTATGGGCATGGGAGTAGGGGGAAGAAAGACCCCTCTCAATGGCTCCATCCCTCTTTTTATTTCAAAGGCTGTGAATTATGTTCATTCACAGCCCGAAATGAGTCCCAAATAGTTTGTAAAGAGTCCAACAGTAGGCTGCCAAAGTCTTTCGGGATAAGGCTGATAAGCACCCACCTTTATGTCACAAACTTTCTCTTTACAGGTCCGCTTACCTTTGGGAAGGTGTGCCTCCTGAATGGATGCTCTCTGGCTCAGTGGTCGCTGCAGAAGCCAAGGACAAACTCGATCCCGATTGGGCGCTGCTCAGATTATCAGCTGACCAAAAGAGCAAAGGCGGGAGACATTGTCAACACATAAGAAACCATTCAGGGCTTCACCAGATCAACTCAAAAGTGGGTCTGTGCCTTACGAGTAGAGGAGTACTTGGTCCCCGAATCGCTGTAGGATTCCTCCCGATGGACCGATTTGGGCCGTGGCTTCTTCGCTTTGGGTCTGGGTTTGCCCAAGCCCTGTTCTTCCAAAATCTGCTGCTGCTTTCGCCGCAAATACTCTTGTTTGATTAATTCCCGGCGGGCTTTTTCCTCTTCCTTCCGCAGGCGATCTTCTTCAGCTTTTCGCCTGCAAAAGTTAAGGAGGGATTCTAGACTCTCAGAGGAGGTGAAAGGAAATGGTGAAGTCGCCCACAACCAGCTCAAACTCAAGGCCTGGGGGCCGAATCCGGCCCATAGGCTGCTTAGACCTGGCGCGCTTGGGCCGCCCTGGAAACAGCAAAGGAGTGGGCTGCGGTGGCTCTGCCAGCAAAAACGGAGCTCGGGAGGGCCATGCGCGACCATCCCAGGCTCCGTTTTCAGCTGTGACAGCCTCCTGCAACCCACTACCAGTGAAAACGGTCCTGAGGGGGGCTACATGCAGCCCCCCCCCGGTCCATTTTCACTGGTATACGACTGCAGGAGGCCATTATGGTCGATATCAGGCCCAGGAGCCCGTTTTCATGGCAGAGCACTCAGGCTACGACAGGCGCCTCCAACGTGAGTGACATCATGCTGGTCATACCCACCCTATCCCGTCCCGTCCCCCGGTCTCCCTGAGGTCAAACACAACCCTGATGTGGCCCTCAATGAAGTAGTTTGAGACCTCTGTTCTACATTTTTCTCCTTTCTTAAAGGTGGGGGGGGGGAGAGAAGAGAAGTTATTTACCGAGCTTCGTCTCTTTTTTGCTCAACTTCTACCTCCAGCTGCTGTTTTCGAAGCCGGGTCTCTTCGGCCTTTCGCTGCTGTTTTAAGAGAAAAGCGGCACGTTTCTTCGCCAGCTCATCTTCGGCTTTCTGTTCATCCTAGAGGGGCAGGGGGAGGAAAAATGTCCAAATATTGCCTGGATCGATACGGAAAAAATACACCGACGACAGTGTGATACACCTAACAGATGGGGACTGCAGCCAAGAAATGAAAACAGGCTTGCTTCTGGGGAGGAAAGTGATGGCAAATCTAGGCAGCATATTAAAAAGCAGAGATATCACCCTGCCAATCAAAAGTGTGTCTAGTCAAGGCTGTGGTTTTCCCAGTTGCAAAGGATGGCTGT